GGACGCTTAAGAGGCTACGCGTCACCCACCACCGTTACCAAAGTGCTTTGCCGCCATTTGGTACCTCTTAATCCCCAGAGCAGCTGCCTGGGAAGGGTGTTCTATCAGCCACTTCATTTCACAGGTGAGACGCCGAGCCCCAGGTGGGCGGGATGGCACAGGGGCCAACAGTGACGGGGCCGGGAGTGGACCTCAGGGTTTCCTGGCTTCACATTTCATTTTCATTCTGCTGGGCCACCTGACGATTTGCCACTTTCTCTCTTTGTTTCTTACTTTTAGGATCTCAGCACCATCCCTTCGGCAAGGAGGGAAAGAATGCGGAAATGAGCAAGGAGCCTTACTGTGGTCCATTTTTCTTCACCTGGTCCCACCTTAGTTACCTGTGTCTGGCCTTCTGTGTTTGTGTGTTTACCTGGTCCCTAGTGGAACGCTAAGAAAGGACACTCTGAAAGCTAAGCTTTCTTTTTTCCTCTCTTCTCACAGTTTGTTCAGTATTTCATGCACACTAAAGAATAGCTCCCTTCTTAATGATATTGGTCTACCATGAAGTCATCTGGGTGTCACTGGATTTTACTATTTCATTGGGAAATGGCACCGAGCCAACAGTGCAGCCCACAAGTAGACAATTAAAGACAAAAGTTTTTCAAGATGCTGGGTGCTGATGGAGTGAAATAATCTTACATCTTACTTCAGCAGATGTGAGATACTTACAGATCAGAGGCACTTAACTAAGTATAGAATGATGACTCTGTTTGTCAATGGCAGCTTCATTGCAAGACTTTTTTTTTTGGCATTTGCTGATATTTCTTTAAAAAGAAGTAAATAATTCATGGTAAGTCATCTTTCATGAAAGGGTTTAGATTGATTAATTACTTCATTTAACGTCTATGCTCTGCTCCCATTGCATATTATCGCACGAGAACCAAAGAAGTCTTGATTAGAAATCAAAGTCAGATGGCAAAACTGGTTTCAGCCAGTCAATTATAGAATTTTAATTTTTTAAAACCGGCAGAGACTAGAGATGTTTTAGTTTCATCCAGACACTGTTGTTAGATTGGCAGCCTTCTCAGAATCACCTGAAATCTAACAGATTCCTGGTGATGAGATTCATTCTGGACCTAAGAACTTTTTTTTTTAACTTTATATCTTTTATCCTTTTTAAGATCTAAAATGCCACAGATACAACTGAAACGTACCTCCCCTATTAATTCTCTCTCCCTCTTCAAAGGTAACTTTTATCCTGAATTTGGTCATATCAGCAGCTAGCCTGTGGCTCCAACTTTGTTCTATTTTTTTTAGATGTTTTAAAACTTTGAAATCATAGTCTTATGTGTGATAAGTCGATGCTGTCATCATGGTTTTTTATCTCACCTTGTAAAGGCCACATCTTTGTGACTGAAGTAGATTTTTTTTCCTTAAATTAAAGAACTACGATCATGAAAGGAACAACCCTTATTTATCTTGATGGTAGCAATGTTAGAGGGACAGAAGATTGAGTTGAAGGGTCTGGAAATCTGGAGTATATTCTGGGAATGCCTTTAACTCGTGATATTTTGGGCCACCAAACACTCCCATTTATCTATCAAGTGGAAATAACACTGATCAGGATGATCAAAAAGCTGGAATGAAAAAGCCATACAAATGCACTCTTAGAACTGTAACAAACTGTTGACGTGTGTGATTTATTACTATCACCTCTTAGGATTCCTTCTGTGAAAACTCTGTCAACTCTCTGACATGAATTGTTTTATAAGACGAATGCCAAGTCTTTTACTAACATAAACTCCTATTATCCCATGTTGTCTTAAACTTATTATCCAGGCTTTCAGTATTTTGAAACATGGCCTCAGTGTAACAATGAAAGACCTTTTAAGCAAGTCACACACACACCCCGTGTCAGGTGCGAGAAGCGTGGGGACCTCAGCCAGGACATGACCGGACAGACATTTCTTCAAGGATTTCTGCCAGATTTGTTTCTCCCCTCTCGGCCTGCAACTTCCATTACCAGCAGCTCTTGCCAAAGTTAACTCTGTGTGTGTGTGTGAGTGTGTGTGTGAGTGAGTGTGTGTGAGTGTGTGTGTGAGCATGCACAGATGCTGAACACATGAACCATCTTGTCGGGGTCAGTCAGAAGACAAGAGCCAATATTCCCAGAAACCGAGTGGTCAGGTTTCCTTAAAAAATGTGCAGAGATTGTGTTTCTGGAGATGAGGGCTCAAGTTAAAAGCAAACAAAAATACCACAGAACATATAACAATTTGTTTTTTGAAGGATTTGTGATTCTGAATTTGGCTCCAGTTCTCTTAAAGACCTAGATAACTTCTCATAGAATGTGGCTCTTTGAAAAGAAACATTAACATAAAAACCTTATTTGCAGCTATTTAAAAAATTGAGTGATAAACCCTTTATTTACTATTTCTGGATTAACTCTGCAGGGGCAATACAGCAATAAACAGAGATCGAGATCAGAGTAGACAGTTTCATGAAGATAACTGAAATAACCCAGCCATTTGATAAAACCCGTGGAAAGAAAGACTGGCTCCTGCTCGCTGACCTTTTCCACTGTGCCCTTCTCTGTCCCTGTTATTAAATAGGCTCGTGATGTCCGAGTGCCACGAGTAACCCTACCTGGCCCAGGTACGCCGGCTCTCCGCTGGGCTACTGAATGTCCACCCCAGTCTAAGTGCTGTGGGAGACACTGGTCTCTCCACGAGGAATATAAGCTCCAGCAGGGAAAACTCATAGGGAGGAGATGGCATAATCGGTCTTGTACAGCTTTATAAGCATCCAGATATTTGGGTTTTCATCAGGAAAGGCTTCTCAGAAAATGTGACCACATTAGGGAACTAGCTTTGATGGCTCGGTAACCTCGTCTGGCTTCAGAACTTCAGAGACTCCGCAGGTCCCTCAAAGCTTTGTTGGCTGGCAAAACAGGACCTGATGTGGACAGCAGAGAGCAAGGGGGACTGTCCCGTGACCGGGGAGTCAGCGAGGCCGGGCGTGTTGGTGCTGCAGGCACAGCTTTAATTGGATGCTCTCTTTTCTTCCCTTTTCTTTCTTTCTTTTCTTTCTTTTCTTTCTTTCCTTTCTTTCTTTCTTTCTTTCTTTCTTTCTTTCTTTCTTTCTTTCTTTCTTTCTTTCTTTCTTTCTTTCTTTCTTTCTTTCTTTCTTTCTTTCTTTTTTTTCTTTCTCCCTTTCTCCCTTTCTCTCTTTCCCTCTTTCTCTCTTTCTTTCTTTCTTTCTTTTAAAAAAGTCCCCCCTCCCTGAGGACTTCAGCAGAGGACTGGGGAAACTTTGTCAACAAGGTTTTGCTTACCTTACCTGATGGCCTAGTCTCTTTCCTTCTGTTTTTTACTCACACCTTTTTTCCTCATTAGGAAATTTGAGTCCAATTTACCTCTTCATTTCCTCCTCCTTTTTTCTTTAATCAAACTATTTTTTTAGCGGCTGTTATGTGCTAGGCCTTGGGAAAAGCGGCATAAGGGAGGCGGGGCCCCTTCTGTGAGAACGAGCCCGGCTCAGCGGAAGCAGCAGGCCTGGGCGCACAGGGCGCCCGTGGCCCGGGCTGGGCTGCGGCACGTGGGTGGGCAGCCGCGCTGTGTCCCGCGGGGGACAGTCAGAGGGGGCTCCCTGGTCATGCAGGGCCTGGGCCAATCCAGAAGGAAGAGAGGGCGCACACCTCCTCCGGGAGACACTTGAGGTCTGTCTAGAGCAGTCCCACCAAAGGGCTTTGTAGGTCCTGCCCCTCCTTGGGGAAGAAAAAGAAAGAGGAGAAAGAAAAAAGAGACTTTGTCAAGAGACAGGTTCCTGGAGGTCTTGTTTCACAGGGGTCGGCCTTTTAGTTGAAATGAAGACCTCGTGAGCATCGGGTGTGTGTACAGTTGAAACACAGTTTCGTGTGTGTAAGGCTCTAGTCCCAAGAAGGGAGCTCACGTGCACCCAGTGTCCATCCTGGTCCTGGAGACGAGCGGGGCCGGGCACACATGTCTGATTCGTCATTTAGTTTTCGAGGTGGGGCGCTGCCCTGTGCTCGTTCAGGATGGATGGGGGAGTGGGGCTCAGAGCCCAGGCGCTGGCTGTGTGTGCAGAGCAGGCAGTGGAACTGGGGTTTCAAGCCCAGCTTCTTTCTGCTGCAAAAGTCCGGGAGTTTCCCATCGCACTGTCTGCTTTCCCCAGAGAAAAGAGAAAGTCTAGTCTTCAGATCCAATAAAAGCGTGCCTTGTCAACTGAAGGTTTAGCAAACATCAGGAAGGTGAGGGTGTAAAGATGCGCTACAGAAAAAGCGGCCGAGAGACCCACGTGAAACAGAGAAACAGGGAAGCGAACCTTTTCCGCTCGGAGATGTCCGGGAGGCTCAGGGCACCGGCTCAGCATCACCTCTAGTTCTGTTTCCGCACCTCACAGTAGACAAGGAGGAAACCACTGCAGGAGGCTCTCTGGGCCTCTTTTCTCATTTCCTGTTTGAGTCTCTATCGAGGACGTCACTCTGATTTTTTATAGAACAACTGAGCAGCAGAGTGGCCGATAACACGACCCCAGTCTCCCGCCAGTTCCTGGCTCTGATCCCAACCCCAGAGCAAGCCAAGGAACTCTGGATGTGTCTGTTGAGATCCTATTGCAAAATTACTACACAGAAGATATCTGGGACTTTGGCATTTCTTCCTATCTTACTTTTTTTTCTTTTTGGCTCAGAAGGCACTTGAGTTGAACTCAGATTGCAGCTTAGTTCCAAAAAGAATAGAAGACCTTTTGAAAGATTTTGAAAGACAGACTTGTCTGTCTCGTTTGCCATATGTCTCCAGTGATCAGGATCACACTTAGCTCTCTGCGAGTCCTCAGTAAGGCTGGGAGGGACAGCGGGGGACCACAGGGGTGGCTGTGAACGCCAGGAGCACCACACGATGCTGCTTGCATCTCTGGGTCTGGGCCACAGCCACTTTCTGAGCTCTCGACATAAACCACAAGGTTGCTGGCAGTGATGATGTCGGTGACAGCAGCCTCTGTGTTTTGAACGTACATGTGCTGGATGCTGGCTTAGGGTCACATTTTCTCTTAACTTAGTCATGAATAGCAAGGCGGGTCATCTTGATACGCCTTCCTCTGCTTCTAAGGAAGCTGAGATCACAGAGGCTGTGACATTCAGGGAGCAGTGATGTTCTTGCCTCCCAGTCACTGGGAGCATAGGCTCGGTCAGACTCCGCAGCCTTCTCAGACTCCCACTGCCGAATGCACTGGCCTTTCTGCATCCTCCCTGCCTTCTCCAGATCCCCGTCCACCCTCCTGTCTCTGAAAAGCCCTTCCTTTGCTCCTCTCCTCCCTAGGTGTCCCCTCCAGTCATGCCCCCTCCTCCCTCACAGAGACCCTCCTCTGGGGCTCATCTGCTGGGCGCTCCCCCGGCTCTCTCCCTCCTCCTCCCTGCCCCTGGGAGGCAGCTTCTGGTTGGCTTGCAGCCTCCCTGTCCACTGCAGCTCAGACTCTCACCCGCCTCTCTCCTTAGGCTCTACCCCATGTATTGACCGGCTCTCAGTCTTTCTCTGGGATCTCTGTCCTGCTTTGTCTTACCCTCCTCTGCTGACTTATCCCATCCACGGCTCTGGGCATCAGCCCCTTGACACTGGATCCCTCGCCCCTGCCGGCTTCTCCTGCTCCATCTCTGGCCACGTGGCACCCTGGGTTTCCTGTAATCTCTTCACATCTGCCACAGGGCCTTTGCACCTCATTCCCTCTGCCTGGAGCCCTTGCCACCAGTTCTTCACTCGGCTGCAGCCTTCTGATGATTTAGCTCAGCTCACAGCTTCTATATCATTGCAGGAGGGCCTCTCTTGGTCTCAGTCAGCCCCTCTTTTTGTTAAAGACCACCTTCTATTCTTTGTAGAGCTTCTGTCTTACATTGCCTTCATCTTTGGGTGATGCTCTTTGTTTACGGTGGTCTCTGAATTTTGCTGGAATGGGAGCTCCACAGGGGCAGGACTCTCACGTATATTGTTCTCATCTGTGTCCAGCACCCATGTCAGTACCAGAAGTGGAGGGACATTTGGTGAATGATGAGTGAGTAACAAATGAGTGCCTGGCGTCCCAGAACTTCAGTCCAGATGACTTTGATCCCTTGATGTTCCTCCCACACCTCATGCCTCTGCTCTGACCCCTTATGTAAACATCTCTGCACTGGATGTACTCAGAAATGTCTGCCCTCACTACAGGTGATCAGGGAGGTCTACAGTGGCTGTAGTGGGCCAGTGGATCTGGAATGTCCTCCCACCTCGAGCTCCCCGGTGCACAAGGCAGAACTGGAGAAGGTAAGGGGCATGTTTCTTTCTAGGAATTAATCTTACAGTTGATTTAGGACTCCCTCGAAGTTTTAATAACATCTCTGAGAGTTTCAGCACTTCTAGTTGGAAAAAAAAGAGAAAAAATAATGGCTCTTGCCTACTGTGTGTGAAGCACAGGTCAGCAGTCACAGACCACGTGGTGGATCTTGCTGTTACCAGCTATAGGCGCAGAAGTGGGCTTACGGTGTTAAGGATTTAAGGTGTCCAAGCAGAGTAAGATCTGCAAGCAGCTCTGTGCTCTGGAATACAGCAGGCGTTTCATAAGTGTGTCTTGCCAGAGGTTTATTTCCAGCAGACAGGTTACATTTCCTGTTCTTTACTCTGTACTCGGGCACAGGGGTGCTGCAGTGCTGCAGTGGGGCAGGGGGGCCCTTCCCGCCAGAGCGGAGGAGCCCGTCACCCCCCCGCCCCGCACACACAGCTTCGCTCCCTGGTCGGGCTCTGTTTGTCTGGATGTGCAAAGATCTTGGGTCCCTGGCGATCCTTGGCTTCCTGCCAGCAGTGTTCAGCTGGTAGCTTGTGTCCCAGGCACTTTCTGAGGCCCCACCCCGCCAGCGAGAAGATCCTTTTTCCTCTGTTCTTGTTTCAGCGTTCTCCAAACAGAACCATTGGGGGGGTGTATGTATGTACATGTGTACATATTTTATATGTTATATAATATGTATAAAATTTAAATATAAAAAATTCTATATGTAACATTGTGGAAGTATGTGTATCTGTGTCCACATGGAGAGATTTATTATGAGAAATCAGCTTCCTTGACCACAGAGGCCGGCAAGTCCAGAATTGTAGTGCGGGCCTGGGGAGCTGACTGCGCAGGTGAAGCCTGAAGGCAGGCTTCTCCAGCAGGTGAGGTCTGCTGGAGAATTCCCCCGTGCCTGTCCTTTTTTTAATTTTTTCTTTTCAGGACATCAGCTGATGGGGTGAGACCCCCCCCCAACATCATGGAGGGTAATCTCCTTACTCAGAGTTCACCAATTTAACTGTTAGTTCCATCCACAAACACCCCCAGGTTGACAAGTAAAGGCAACCTCACACCCCTCGCCCTCGTACTGTGACGGAGCAGGCCTGTCTCTTTGTCCTGATCACAGAATTCATGCCTGCTCCCTGTGGAAAATTTAGGAAGTTCAGAGAAACAGAATGGGAGGAATAAAGTCACTCACGAGTCCCCCTCAGGGGCAGCTCCTCTCAATACTCTACATGTGTTTAAACAAGTTTTTTCCTATTCGTGTGTTTCTTTCACAGTTTAGATAATCCGATGCGTTAAATTTCTTATGCTGCTTTTTGGTTTTTTTTTCACTTACCTTTATATTATTAGCAATTTTCCAGGTTTTTGAAAATGCATAGCAAGCATTTTTGCATTTTCACCAGCTGAATAATATCCAATGCGTATGACTCGACTATCACGTCAAGTCATACACCTCATGCGTATACACGTGCCATGTGTATACCCCGCCCTGGAACAGACGCTTTTCTTTTTTGAGTCATGATGCTTCGTGTGTGTGTGACTCTTTGCTGCTTCTCTACTACCTGAGATTAATTTCCTCGAAGGTGGATTACTTACTAGTCCAAAGAATTATTTTTACAAGTTTGATCCATGCTGCTAAGCAAGTTACTTTCCAGAAAGCTTGGTCCTGTGCTGTCTCCCGTACACAGTGCATCAGAGCTCCTCTTCGACCCGCTCAGACGGGAGCTGGCAGTGCCCTTCTGCACCTTGGTTTCTAAGGCTGCACTGTGACTGCCTGGCTGGGCCTGTTGGCCTAGATCCCAGGGGTGCTTCCTGGCCTGAGAGCTGGGCTCTGTCACTGTCACTGCATGTACTCAGGCCTCCCAGGACACCATGATTCTTCACTGCAGCTCTTCCCAGCACCACTGGGGATTGCTGGCCCCTGTCTGCCATCCTCAGCCAGCACTGCCTGGACCTGTTATCACGAGTTGAGGGTGTGCCCGCTGTGTCCTGGCATCGCCGGGTACTTTGTCTCCCTGCTGGCTAGTCTCCATGGCACTAGGGTGTGACTCGAGGTTCTAAGGAGGGACGTCCTGGAACTGTTACCCCCTCAGAAGACTCCACAGGGTCTCTAGTCGGAATGGGAGGGGCTCTGCTCAGAACAGTGTCTTCTTCAGATACTAACCTGGAGTCCTAATTGTGCTCCTCACGCCCGGATACTAGGACTAAAATCATTACAAGTATCCAGTGCTCTTTGACAATTTGAGAGTCCCTTGCCTCTCTGTGGGCGTTCTGAGTGTATTGCTGCCAGCAGAGACTTGACCCTTGCCCAGTTATTGGTGAATGCCAGGAGGAGATTCCATGGGCGATGTAGTGTTGGTTTCTAGAAGGATAATGTGGTTTGGTGAGGGGAATTTTTTTTTGTAATCCTAATATAATTTTCAAAATGATTTGAATGAAACAGGTTTGGTACTACAAGCACGTGTTAGTATAACCTTAGGGTTTTCTTTGTTCTTTTTTCCTTTTAAAGTCTTTGTAGCAAACCAGCCAGCTAGATAGTCTGTGTTACAGTTGAGCTCTGTCTCCAGATCATCGTGAACATGGCCCGTGTTTTCTTTCACTTCTGATTGGTCCGTGATGAACCACTTTGTCAGTGTGGCCGTTGTAAGAATAACTTAATCTTTTTATCCTCACAGAAGCTGTCTTCAGAGAGACCAAGCTCAGATGGGGAGGGTGTTATAGAAAATGGAATTACGATGTGTAACGGTAAAGAACAAGGTGAGTTCTGCTTGTGCCAAAATTACGTAACTAAAAAACCCAAAAACCAAAAAACACCACAATCAAGTCTGTAAACTCTGATTGTGTGAAAAAACACCTTGGTAATTCGGTTATGTGGATGTCATCACTGTATCACACTGACAGAAACCTTTGGTTAATACTATCCCTCTCTCCGTGTCTTCATGCCAGTCCTGCCAAACCTCAGCCTGGGTTTTCTCCTGTTGTCTTGACACGTGCTTTGCATAATTTCAATTTACGACTCACAGCAGATTGCTTCCTGATTTACCACTGAAACGGGTTTGCATCTTGCTGGGAGACACAATTTTCGGGGAAGAGCTTAGGATGATGAGACGGGAAACCCGCGTGCCCATCCCAGTGCTGCCTTTGCTGAAGAAAGGACCTTGAGCATGTTTCTTACCCTTTAATAAGCCTCAGTTTCCCCATCTTTAAAACAAGGAGGCCAGGCTCGCAGATTTCTGATCTTTTTTAAGAAGATTGTCCGAAAATGTCTTTTATTTCTTTTCCATTAAAAAATTTTTTTAATTGTAGTAGAATACACATAACATACAATTTACCTCCTTAAACATTTTTAAGTCCAGGTTCAGTGGCATTAAGTACATTCACAGTGTTGTGTGGCTACCAGCACCATCTGTCTCTAGACCACTTTCCATCTTGAAAACTGAAACTCTGTCCCCGTTAAACACTCAGCCCCCATTCTCTCCTCTCCCCGCCCTTTAACTCCTCTAGGACCTTCATACAAGTATGATAATGTAGTATTTTGTGTGTGTGTGTGACCGGCTAATTTCACTTATTTCACTGAGCATAATGTCCTCAAAGTGCACCCACAAGGCATGTGACAGGATTTCCTTCCTTTCTGAATAATATTCCTTGTCTGGGTGGACCACGTTTTGTTTATCCATCCATCCACTGATGGACGCTTGAGTCGCTTCCCCCTTTTGGCTCTGGTGAATAATGCTGCTGTGGACGTGGGCGAACAAATACTGAATTCTCTCTTTAAAGTCAGCTCTATAAAGATGTCAATCACATACAGCAGAGTTCTCCCCTTTTGGCGCCCAGTTCTTTGAGTTTTGACAAACACAAGCATGTAACCGTCCCCATAGTCAAGACGTAGGAGATTTCTGTCCCCCCTGAAACGCTTACTTGTGCCCCTGGCAACCACGGATGACTTTTCTGTCCTGAGTGGATCCCACAGCCTCCGGGTCTGGCTTCCTCAGTGGGCGTGATGCTTTCAGAGGCGTCCCTGTCGTGGTCAGGGGTCTGTTCTGTGTCGGGGCCCAGCAGGGCTCCAGGGTGTGATGAGACCGTCATCCATTCCCCGACTGAAGCACGCGTCTCCAGGCCTGGGTGACGTCCAGTGAAGCTCATAGATGCTCATGGGAGATTTCGCGTGAACGAGTCTTCGTTCCCCCGGGTGATACCTTGGTGGGGGGGGCTCTCCTCGTCTCAGACGCTCGCGTGCGCTCATGTCGCCACTTTTGTTCTTTTTGTTCTGACCATTTTAGTAGGTGCGTAATTGTGCCTTTAGCACGCATTTCCCTGTGACTAACAATGTGGAACAATTTTTCACGTGCTTTTTTGCTACCCATTGTCTTCTCTGGGGAAACGCCTGTTAAATCTTTTGCCCATATTCCACCCCCCCTTTTTTTGTTGAAGTTTAGTTGATTTACAGTGTTGTATTAGTTTCTGGTATACAGCATAGTGATTCAGTTTTACATATATATATATATATATATATATTCTTAAAAATTTCTAAAGCAATGTCTTTTTGTTTGTTTTTTATAGTTTTTTTGGGGGGTAATTAGGTTTATTTATTTAATTTATTATTTATTTATTTATTTAACAGCAGTACTGAGGATTGAACCCAGGACCTTGTGCATGCTAAGCATGTGCTCTACCACTGAGCTCTTCCCCCCATATAGTGTTTTTCATGTTTTTTTCCATTGTAGGTTATTACAAGATATTGAGTATATTCCCTGTGCTATACAGTAGGACTTTGTTGTTTATCTGTTTTACATATAGCAGTTTGTATCTGCTAATCCCAAACTCCTAAATTATCTCTCCACCTCCTTTCCCCTTTTTTCTATGTCTGTGAGTCGCTTTCTGCTTTGTAAATAAGTTCCTGTGTGTCATTTTTGTTTTTTAGATGCACTAAAGTGTGGCATAAGATATTTGCCTTTCTCTGGCTTGCTTCGGCCGCCGCTGGGTCCATCCGTGCTGCTGCACCTGCTTTTGGCTGTGCTCTTCCTGACTCTTTTCGTTCTTACTAACTTTTGAGAGTTCTTGGCATGATCTGAAGGAGCGTCCCTGATCAGATGTGTCTCACTTGTGTCTTGTCCCGGCCTGTGGCTTGGCCTCTGATTTCCTTTGCAGTGTGTGGACCAAGAGCAGCGGTAGGGCTTGTGGGGGGCGGGGGAGGTTTTCCCGCGGCAACGCCAGCAGCCGCTGTGCTTCCCGGGTGAGCGGTCTGCCCGGCCAGCTCGCCTGCAGCCTGTCCCTGGCGTGGAGTAGGCACCTCCTGGCGTGAAGGGAAGTCTCCTTAAACCAAATGGCAGTCCGGGCCGCTAGAATCTTGGAGCTTGAGTCATCCAGGCTGCTGTGATGTTCCAGGGTTCACGGCGGAAGGTCATGGTCTCTGCCTTTGCCCGTGTGATCTTCTGTCTCAGTCCTATCGAGTGTAATTTTGGTTCTTTCCATCGGAAGTTACTCAGTGGAAGGTATCATCTGTGTCTTCACAGGGCACATTATGTGCAATCAAAGCCAGGAAAGCTATCTTTAACTCTTGCCCCAAAATGGAGTAACATGCAATCTCAGGGCTCCCGCTCAGAGGCAGAGACCCAGCGGGTGTTGCTCTGGTTGGTCTCTTTTCCTGTTGGCAGTTTCTTCTCCCAGGGTCCCTGCACAAAATCGGATTCTCCAGAATGATCTATATGCCTGGGAACATGTGCGGGAACATGCCTGATATTCTCCGGCTTCCTTCTAACAAGAGCAGCCTCTGCACCTCGCGAAGGTGCCCTTGGTTCAGACGTCTTTGCCCGGCATGGTGCTTTGCACGGAGGCGACTCCCAATAAGTAATCACTGAAGAAACTCGTAGTTTAAGCACTTTCGGACCTTCTGCTTAGCTTCTATTCTTGCCACTCACTCTTGGCCAGTTTGCATCTGAGAATTTTCATTCAAGCCCCCTTGATCCCAGCCGTGTCGGAACTCGGACCGATTGCTCTGCTGGCTGCACAGAGGAAATCCCAAACTCCTGCAGCTTCTCCTAAATGTCAGACTCACAACAGAACATGGACACGCGCCAGACTCTGTGTGACCAGAGCCACAGGGAATGGCTCTAAAACTCCTGCTTCTCCTTTCAAGGAGCCAAGCCTTGGCACGTGGTAAACCAGCGCAGTCCAGGGTTTGGTGAGCTAGGAAGGTTCCCACTGAGGCTGCCGCTGACGTGGGAAGAGAACTGAGCCCCTGCTGCTGCTCTGTGTGGAGGCCACGGCTGTCCCCAGCTGGCCCCTCACGTTTACGATTTGATCCCGAGTTAATGGGTCTGTTGATAGACTTATCAAATAATTAGTCCACTGATGTTAGCCCCATGTCCCTGTTCCTCCCCTAGCCTAAATACCAAAACACCGAGACTCCCCGTTGTGTAGGGCAGTAAGGAACTGCCCGGGTGTGCACTTACGGCTTTGAAAATGCTGAGAACGAGCCTTGCTTCAGTGTCTGTCACGCCCCCTCTGCCCACGTTGGCGGTGCGGACTCTCCAGACCTCCTCCTCTGCAGCTTCAGTGAGATGGGAGCTCTGAGTTTTTAGGCTTTTTTTCATCATTCTACTTCATGTGTTAAACGTTGCCTTCCGTTTAACAAATAGTATCCACATATCCTTGGTGGCTTCTTTCTCACGTTCCTACGTACTTTGGCTTTTTCTTCCAAGGACAGCCTCGCTTCCACTTTTGCAAAAAATTAATCTGTGGCTTTCAGGGAACTGAAAGCCTCTATGGTCTTCTCTCCTGGGAGGCAGAGTCCAGCCAGCACTTTCCCAGCAGGGCGAATCCTAGTAAAACTCGAAGTAAATCTAACAGCCAGCGCTCTCAGTCCTCACTGTGATGCGGGGAGGGCCTGGCGCATGCTCCCGAGCTCCGGGGAAGGTGCCTGCCGGGCACTGACTGTCCTCGCTGAGAGGGCCTTCTTTTTACAGCTTAGCTCCAGTGAGACGTGGTCACAGATCATCTCCACATGTTTTAGAAACAGCCAAGGAGGGCCATCCACTGGTGTTCTCACTTTCGCTTTGGTTGAGCTGAAATCCAAATGGCACAGCTGTCCCAGCCACGGGCCCCACGCCTGCCGGCAGCTGGGGCGGAGATGTGCCCCAGACTAAGAGGTTAGATTCACCAATTCTTGGTGCTTGTTTTACCAGGGAGTGTAAGGAACAGACAGGAGAGTACAAGGAGGGGGTGGGAGTACCAGTCCCATGTCCCATGTTTCCTAGTATCACAGGAGGCCTTGCCTCGTTCGAAGGACAGCACAGGCTGCCGTGACAAGATACACAGACAGGGCAGCTTACACAGCAGACATTTGTATCTTGCGCTCCTGGAGGCCAGTGGCCCGAGATCAAGATGCCAGCAGGGCTGGCCGCAGGTGAGGCCTCTTCCCGGCTTGCAGACGGCCGCTCCCTCTCTGTGTCCTCAGCGGCCTCCCTCCGTGCTCACAGTCTCTTCTCAGAAGGACACCAATCCTGTCAGATCAGGGCCCCACCCTTAAGACCCCACTTAGCCATCATTGCTTCCCTGGGGGCCCCATCTCCAAACACAGCCACACTGGGGGTTAGGGCTTCAGCATGTGAATTCTGGGCGGGGGGAGGTGGCACACACATTCAGCCTGTAGCACTGTGCACCCTGAAATACAGGCTGGCTTCTTTATAACAGCACCTCCTGCCTCAGATGTTGTTAACTGCCATGTCTTTCTAGAGGAAACAAGGGGTAAAGCGCAGTGACTGACCTGTCAGGCTCTCCCTGAGCCCGGGGTGGGGGGAGGAGGAGCCGCAGAGCCCAGAGGAGGCAGGGCTGGGCGAGCGATGTCACGCCGGCCTTGTGCCGCTGGTGTGGTGCTGGTGGCAGAGTGGAGGTTGAGAAGGGGACATCGTGCCTGCTCCCCACCAGAGAGCAGCAGACGTGGGGAAGAAGTGGGAAGTGTGAGGGTGAACACAGAACATTCTTAAAGGGAGGTTTAGGAATTAGGCCTGTAGTTTATCACCTCACGTCTCTGAATCCTCTTTCCCTGAAATTATGCTGTGTGATGTATGTGTGCGGGCGCGTGTTCTGTACCCCTGAGGAAAGGGGGCGGGGAAGGAACTCCTGACTGTTATTACATCTTAAGAAGAGTCTGTGGTGCCCTCCGGGTGACGGACAGAGGGCCGAGGGCTCTTCCTGGAGCGGGCTGGGGAAGGGCTGTTGAGGTTCCCTGGGGCTCAGGCGGTGGTGTTTGGCCTTGATGCTGCGAGATCTTTTCAGGGCCCTGTAGGACGTCACACACCCCTCTTCCAGCACATCCATACCGTGGTGAGGCTGGACTTGACCATGTGTAGGCCTGGAGGCTCAGCGCCCTGTGAGGCCTGGGGAAGGCGCCCTGGACCCTTGGCTCCAGTGCCAGGCACATCAGAGCCCCCAGGCTCACCTTTCCAGAGGTGCTCTGCTGAGAAGGGCCTTGTGCCTCAGTCCCGGCCCTGTCTCAGCGCGCGTGCTGATTCTTTGTGCCATGCCCGCTCCTGTGATTCTGTCGGAGGTCACAGACAAAACCTGCAGCGGCTGGAGAGCACGAATGGCCAAGGTGGGGCAGGTGCAGGGTAGCGGCTGGCGGCTGGCGCTGTCTCTGGTGGGGGCATGGGACCATCGTGGACACGGGGCCCACGGGTCCACGCGCGTGGATGCTGCGTCTCTGGGCGCGCCCCTGCTGCCCTTTCCCCAGCATGTGGGTTTAGCGTGGCCAGATCCCCCAGTTTTCCAAGGGAAGCCGGACAGCATTTTCGTGCAAAACGTTTATGAGTTTTCCATGTGCAGTTTAGTGCTGTGCAGGGCAAACAGCGCAAGGGGCTGGGCTGCAGTGCCCGTCTGACAGCTCCTGGGAGAGGGCAGAGTTGCGTGTGAACTGAGCAGGTCACGAGGGGCTGGCAAGGGTCACGGAGTGGGGCCACCTCCCCTTCCCCGCCTGGCGCCTCCCCATGCCGGCCAGGACTTGGCCACAGGAGCCTTCCCCCTGTTGCTGATGCCTCTCCCGGAGCGGCTGCCTTAGCTTCGGCGCCTCTGCTGGAGTCCCCTGCCTGTCCCCCCGCGGAGGCTTTCCCTGACCGCCTGGTCGCGCTGCCACATGCCCCGGCTTTAGGTCTCCAGAGGCCTTGCCAGCATCTGACCTGCCTCATGGGTGTGTGTCGGTGTACACACGTGTGTGTGTTCTCAGCCTGCTCGCCTCTGTTTTCTGCCGTGTTCTCTGGTATCTAGGCCAATGGCTGGCACGTAGCAGGAGCTCAGTAAGTAAAAACTGGGGGAAAGAAAACTGGCCATGATTTAGGCTTCATTTTGATGTCTTTTCAATTAAAGTCTGTAACTGAAACATGCTTTTTTGTTATCATTCTTGACAGTTAAGAGGAAAAAAAGTTCCAAATCGGAGGCCAAGGGAACCGTGTCTAAAGTCACTGGGAAAAAAATTACCAAGATCATCGGTTTGGGAAAGAAAAAGCCCTCGACAGACGAACAGACCTCCTCGGCGGAGGAAGACGTGCCCACTTGCGGTAAGAGGGGGCTTGCTGGCTGCCGGCCCCGCTCCTGCTCACCTCCGAGTCGCCGTCTTCCCAGTCTCACTGATTTGGCTCTGCTGAATTGGGCCTGTGATCACATAAATGGTAGGGAATGGATTACATTTGTATTGCTTATTAATGGGAGACTTTGCAGGGGTTTGAGATGATCTCTGAGGTCCTTTCAAGATGAAAAACAAGCTCTCTCTTTGACCTCGTGAAGTTCTTCCAAATTCCTCTTTAAGCAGTTTTAAACTGGAGCCCAGGCACGTGCCATTGGCCCCGGAGGGATAAAGTATGGTGGAACAGTGACCGAAGTACCATCAGCTCCTTCCCGTGGCCTGAAGTCATGAAACTAGACTTTCCCGTGCTGCTCCGTTTCTCAGACTTTAGTTTCAGGCCCAACCCAGCTCATTAATGTCGCCCCCGCCGGCCGAGGCTTCGTCCGTCTGTGTTTTCTGAGCAGTCGCTGCTTGCTGGGACAG